GGCAGTCGCCGCCTGTGAGGATGTGCACGGCTACCTCCGTCGTGGAGAGCCAGAAGCACCGATTCGCCATCGACGCCAGCCGGATACAGACGCGTCGAGCGCGGCGAGCGAGATCCTCCTGCGTGCGGCTCCGTTTGGCGTGCGCCTGGCCCTCGGCATCAGCGGCGACCTCACTCAGCACCTTGCGGGCTTCTTCCTCGTCCTCCTCTTCCTTCTCCTGCTGCTCCAGACGCTGCATGCCGGAGAGCATAGCCTGGAAGAGCGGCGTCATGGACTCCATCATTTTCCCCTGGTACTTCGTGATGTAGAAGTCCATGGAGAAAGCCTTCTGGAAAGCAGCTTGGAAGCTCTCCACGACAGATGCATTCTGCTGCAGCAAGGACCCACAACCGTAGAGCCTTGTTTTGCGCCTGCTGAGTTGTCCTGATGAGCGCGCTGTGGTTGCCGAGTCTGGGTCCTTCATGATCTTCGTCTTCTTGGTAAGCCTTCTGCGCTTGGCCGGCTGAGCAGGAGCGGCCGCCGGCAGGTCACCCTGAGAAGGCTGAGGAGCACCACCAGGCTCAGGCACGTCTGCTGCCTCGGCGGACTCGTCAGGCGCGCACAGCAAGAACTGGAAATCCACGTTGCACCGGCTTGTCACTTGAGAGACGTCGTTGCTTGAGCTCCTGAACGGCTGGTCGCGTTTGAGCTGGCAGCGGCACAGCTGGTTGCGTTCGTCAGAGAAGTCAATGAACGGAGTGCGGACCAAAGGCTTGCCACGCCGACGCACTCGCTTGGTGTGGCCTGCCAGAGATAGCTGCTGGATGCGGAAGAACCAGAAGCGGCACGACGGGGCTCTGTTGGAGCGCAGACTCTCTTTGGCCTCGAGCTTCTTCTTGACGTACTTGACGCACGTCTCCGTGCAATCGTGCTCGTGGTTGGAGCAGATGTTGTAAAAGAAGTCGTGGCTAAAGGCTACTGCCCACGCGCCCGCATCTGCGTCAATCTCCTCGACCGAAGCCGGCGAGCCATCGTGCTTGAGGACTTCCTGAATCATTCCATCCTCGTTCGTCTGGAAGAGACTACCATGGCTGACTGCCATGGCAGGCTGAGAAGCGCCACCGAGCTGCCCGAAGCTAGATCGCTGGCGGTAGCTCGGAAACGTAGACTGAAAGGCACCTGTGAGCGGATGAACGTTCCATATGGCGGTACGGCCAGGGGAACGCCATTGCAATCGAAACTCTGGTGACGAGGCACGTTGAGTGAAATGGACTGCAGTGTCACTAGCAACTCCTGAACCAAGCACGGCTGTCGCGGAAGGAATATAAAATGTGACCCGAGACTAACCTAGTGAAAACTCAGAGAAATCAGTGTGTGTGACGGTTGTGTCAGGGAATTGAAAGTTGAGATGTGACAGGTCGACAAGGACACTGTGTATGAGTGTTGCATGATAGTGAGAGAACGAGTGTTGCCCAGGAGCGTCGCCCAGATATGAAGTTCTGAGAGGTCACAGAGCACAAAGTGTGTGACTGTCGCGTGGGATTACTCTGAATGTATCCCGGGATTGCCGTTCCAGACAGCCAGATAGCCCGGCGTGTATACCTGTTGTGTGCGATTTTTCCAAATGTAGCCTGGGAATGGCGTTCTGGGAAGTCTCGGAGCACGAAGTGTGTGACTCTTGCATCCTGTTATTCCGAATGTGGCCTGGGAATGGGGTTCTGGGATGCCAAAGAGCTCGAAATGTGTGACTGTTGCATCCCGTTAATCAGAATGTGGCCCGGGAATGGAGTTCTGGGGTGTCAAATACGCAGAATTGTATGACTGTTGCGTCCGTCTATTGCGAATGTGGCCCGGGAATGGCGTTCTGGGAGGTCAAGGAGCACCAAAAGTGTGACTGTTGCATCCGGTTATTCAGAATGTGGCCTGGGAATGGGGTTCTGAGAGGTCGACGAGCACGAAGTGTGTGACTGTTTGTGAAAAACGAGCCCGGCACAGGCCCGGCCGGCAACTCCCAACGCCTGCCCGGACCCCCCTGTGGAGGGATCTGTGAGCTCTTTTGAGTCAACTAGAAACCTATCAGTCTTCGCTGTTAGGTAAAAACGGCCTTGCCGTTTCCGGGGCCCACGAAGCCCCTGAGCATCAGTCCTCAGTCCTGAGAAAAGGTGTCCCTTGAAAATGGAAACAGCCCAAAAAACGGCGACCGGAAACGGCAACAAAAACGGCTCCAGGAGCGGGAACCCGTAAAAGAACGGCGACGGAACCGGTAAAAAAACACGGCGTCGGAACCAGCAAGAAAACGGCAAAACGGAACCGGTGACAAAAACGGCCCTGTCGTTTCCAGGGCCCACTAAGGTCCAGACTCGGCGGCGAGTGGGGGGGAAGGAAGTGAAAAGGAGAAGGCCTTCTCCTTCCTCTACAATTACTCAATATGAATACTACTCTCCCTCTTCCCCTGATGACGTCTTTTGCGTACTGCCCCCCCCCCCCCCCCCCCGCGTACTGTTTTTTTTTCAACAGCGACCCGTCCCGAAGTTGGTTTTCCGCACGAAGGTTTTTTCCCAGATTCTGCTCTCGCTGAGGCGCCGGCTTCATTTCGGCTCCCGAATCGTTCCGAATCGTGCTCCCGCTGCAGCGTGGGCCTCATTTTCGGATCGGTGTTTGGCCTCCGTCGTTCAGGATGGCGTTCTCGCCCCAGCGCGGGCCTCTTTCTCGCGCGCCCATCCGCCCGCCACCACCGCGCCGCACCACGCCCCGCCCCGCCGCACGCACACCCACCGCCACTTCACCCACCAACGCACGCACGCACGCACGCGCACCACCACCGCGCACCGCCACCACCACCGCACTACCCCACCCACCACCACCACGCTACACCGCGTCACACCACATCACACGCGCGCACACACAGACACGCACGCACGCACGCACGCACGCACGCACGCACGCACGCACGCACGCACGCACGCACGCACGCACGCACGCACGCACGCACGCACGCACGCACGCACGCACGCACGCACGCACGCACGCACGCAAGCACGCACGCACGCACGCACGCACGCACGCACGCACGCACGCACGCACGCACGCACGCACGCACGCACACACGCACACACACACACGCGCGCACGCACGCACGCACGCACGCACGCACGCACGCACGCACGCACGCACGCACGCACGCACGCACGCACGCACGCACGCACGCACGCACGCACGCACGCACGCACGCACACACGCACGCACACACACACGCACACACGCACGCACCCACACACACACACGCACACACGCACACACGCACACACACACACACACACACACCACCACCGCCACCACCACCACCGCCATCACGCACGTACGCACCTGGCCCACCACCAAACCACCAAGACGCCACACCACGTCACACCACATCACACGCGCACACACGCACACACACACATACATACACACCACCACCACCACAACAACCACAACCACGCACACACGCACGCACGCACGCGCACCACCACCCACTACGCACACGCGCGCGGAGCCACAGGTCCGCTACGACACGCGTCCGCGGATAGAGAAAATCAGCGCCATGGTAAGGGATGGGATGCAGGGGTAGGATGTCAGATGTTGACGCGAGCGCACCTAACTTGCCTCCTCCCCCCTCCCCTTCCTCTCCTCCTCTCCTTCCTCTCGAATCCTTCTCCTTCCTCTCCCGGCACGCTCTCCGAGCGTGCGGGTCGCCCTGTCGATGGGTATTTCTGTGGGTGGTGCCGAGGGGGGATCTCGTGAGAGGGGAAGGGGGAAGGGGGGGGGGGCAGTCATGAAGGA